TCATGGTCTCAAATGCATACATGTTTTTGTCGACAAAAGCTCAATTTTCCAGAATTTGTATCTTTAGAACATTTATTCATTCTTTCGAATTTTGAATTGTCTGTTTGCTAATTTGCATTTCTAACAAACTTAGTACATCAAAACATACAATATGCAAATTTGAGCAATTTTTCGAATCCATATCAGACTAGAATAATCTAGAACTGAATAATCAGTCAACAACAAAATAAATCTTGGAAAACTATTTAGCTAATCATTAAAATGGCCTAATCGGAAATTGCCACGAAATTTCCGCGAAAGCTTCCTAACGTCAGCGTCAATTTCATTCTGTCGAATTAATGTCTCGACTGACAGGAAATAATTATAGTAAATGAGTCATGTTTATGATATTTTCATTCAGTGATGTTCTTATTCTAAATCAGAATATTTGATACAATTCATCACTTGTGCGCATTGAGTTTTATCCGCAGAATAACTAGCACAGTCGCAGCATTACTTGAACGCTGGAGGAGTATTGGCTCGCAGGCTAGGTGGCCTGAACTAAGCAAAGGTAAAAGCTGTAACAACTTTTAGAACATATTTTCTGATTTTCCAGAATTGAAAGTATTTTCATGGTGATATAAAAAGGGCTTAAATTTTTCTTCGCACTGTAGATCAAATTTAGCAGTTTCTTCTTCCTCTTCCCTTCACTTCTGCTCACACCATTGAAGAATGTGCACTTAGCTATTGCACAAGTATTTTCGACCGTGTTCCTCTCAAAAAGTTTGAATGATCAAAATTTCAGCTCAAGCGTTTCTCGAGGTCTCTTTTATTACTTTGTCAATATGTTCAGTCATTGAGTTAGCAATAATCGTGCTTTTACATTTTGCCAATACTTCTTTTACCGTAAGTTGGACCAAAATAGAAAAGAATAGGTAGTGAGAAGTTTCTTAAAGATACTGATAATGGCTCTGTAGAGTTGACCGCTCCTTTCATGAAGGGATGAGAATAATCTAAGGTGATAGAAAACTCCAAAGCGCTACTGTACAGATGAATTATGGACACACCAACTGGCAATCGCACCTCCACTTTTTTCAAGTTTCCATTGGAGCGCTTATTAGCGGCTAAGCTTCTAAGAAGAATTTTATCGTTTCTTATTTACTTCATGTTGATTTATCGGTAGCAGCAAACATCTCTTAACGAAAATTTACCGTTCAGCTCCGATAATTTTATACTTGTTAATTTAACAAGAATGGAAGAATGATTTTTGAAAGGTTCTCCAAAAAATGCACAATTCTACACTTATGGATGTTTCAAATTGACTTGATCAGCTCGAATTATTTCATGCTCAAATCTTAGAAACACAAAACGAAATGTGTAAAATCATTTTGTATCCACTATCTGGGTTTGAGTAATAATATTGAATTTATGTTAGCGTGGTGGACAAGGTCTGAAATAGACTTACAAAAAAT